CTACATGACAAGCTGTGACTGCTCAGTCACCAGCACAGCTATTGAGTTGTTGAATGGCCTTTAATACTGCATCTGTGGTAGATTGTTCCATACTTTTCCAATGGGATGAGGAGCGCTTTCTTTCTAGATTTGTCTGATGCATGCTTTTCAGTTTTCCTGATGGGTTCTTCACAGAGTGTCCATTACTTATGTAGGCTAAGTGAAACACACAGTTGCTACACTTAAATCATGCATCTTTGAAATGTTCTGAAATTAATCATTCCAGATTCCATGTTTCATATCTTTATTTTCTCCTTTGTATCTCTAGTTCTAAAAATCTTGGACATGACATTAAAACATCATTTTTAGTAGGAAAAAGAATGAAGCCTTCTGTTCTTTTTAGTTTAGGTTTCCAAACTAAATGCAATAACTGAGGAACTTCATATTTTTACAGAAGTGAGGACAGTTGTCGCAGGGTTAGGGGAAATTACCAGTTCTGTTTTGCTGCATAATGTGTCCGTGTGAGCTTTTCCCTTCTTTAGCTTATTTAGCTGCCATATACAACGAGCTAATATGCTTAATGTTGAATTCCAGCACATTTTATGAATGCCTGGCAAGCTAGTAACTTGCTATTCTTTCTATGTTATGTGAATCTAAGGATCGACAAGTACTTGCTTTTTGTATGTCATCTGAACCTCAGAAGTTCAATAATGTCATTATTTTTAGTGTACGTGTAAGAGAGGAGACTTTTCCATCAGTCACTGAAGTGGTAGGATGAACCATTTGGTGTGATCAGTATTCTTAAGGGAACCATGGAAGAATCACCATTATGTGCTTTGCCTTCATGTGAGGAACAATGCAAAATGAAGAGTAACAGACAGTCAAGCCTTGTGTTTCAAATAGCAGCTGAATTGTCTACCTCAAGAGATGAATATGCTGAACTCTTAATGTGTTGACTGTGCACTTGACATACAATTAAGCAGTTGAGCATTTCTCTAATCTCTGTGTACAAGAAGATAAAGGAAGCTTGGAGAACTGTATCAGTAAGACTATTTACACAGAGCTCATAATGCTAATGCTTTTGATGTCCTTTAAGCTTCTGCCTTCCTATTGCTGTCAGCTCAATACACTGCACACATTCTCTGAGTCAAGCGAGCATAAGCCAAGGAGGGGAGAAATGTGTTCCATTTCTCACATGGAAGAACCACTACTCAGGGAAGAATTTTTCTATCTAGAGGAGAAACCTTTTCCTTCATCAGTAACTTGTGACAGACTATAGAGACTTGGGAAATAGATAAAGTGATAGATGTTTCTCACACAGTGATTGCAAAGAGATTTCAAGTGATGAAGGTTCAGTACAAAAAGAAAATATGTTTGTGCTAGAACTTGAGACTATACTTGAGAACTAGTTATTAAAAAATTAGATCACCAAAGTGCTGCTGTACTCTGGGGAATAACATAACTGTCAGAGGTGTCTGCAGGAACATGAAACATTAGTCAGTCATAAATCTTTCATAGATGACCTATAGACAGATGCTGTGTGTCAGATACTGTAGCCTTCCCCCACAGTTTTCAATACAGATGTCTGCAGAACATGGCAGAGCCACCTTCCATAACTAGAATAATTTCTTCGATGCTTGGCCATTTCTCTTTAAGAGGACCTATGTATTGGTAGTGGCCATCTTTAACATAAAAATCTCTTATTTCAGGTGATCTCTTATTTCAGTGAGTAAAGAGAAGGGAGAAGGCTCCTTCAGAAGGTGTATTCATAATAAGATTAAGTTCTTAAATATTACTGCTTCCTTATTATCAGAGACATATTTTTCTTCATATGTTGCTTGAGCTAAATGAAATCTTTGCAAAGAACCACTGAGCAGTGCAACTGTAGGTAAGGACTTTCTCTGAATGTAGAACCTGCACTGAAGGGGCCTAGTTTTAATAGAAACTGAGCACAAAGCTGATGTTCTAAAATATAATGCTTTTATCTTGTCCTAAAACTGCTTCAGGTTGCATGCATGAAACAAAAACGATGGAAGTGAGCACACACTCGACACTTTGTGGGGAGATGCTGATCCAGGTTCAACACAATATTAGCAGAGAAGGTTTTCAGCACTGTGCACTGGCCATAAGCTGCTGAGAAGATTGTAGGAAGTATTTTAGTTCTGTGTCAGAAGTGGAAAATGGGATCCCTTTTGAGTTTAGGACAAGGATTGCATGAGAGTCTCAGAAGAGAATTGAGGTACTTCTAAAAACTGAGTGGAGGAAGCTTCTTCAGCTCCTTGTTAGTGATTACTTAGAAATGTCAGAAAAAAAAAACCCTGGGAAAGTTACTGTGAATATTCATTCCTAATGAAGAGCTTCTCTGCCATCTGGCCTCGGCTGATTTTGCTAGGACTCCTTCTTACCCTCAAAGGTCTTGTTTGAGATCAAATTCTTTGTTTTGAAATATATAAGTAGCATCTTTAATCTGTGTCTCCTCATTTTCTTTGCTAACTTCACACAGAAGTTACTACAAGGACCATGCAAATGTAAAAAAAAATAAATTCAAAGTTTGTCCTCATATTTATAAAGGAATTGCAGCTCTGATTACACCCTGAACCTTTTGATACCTAGTGATAATTTTATTCTATATTTTTATGTCTCTTTATCATTTGTCATGGACCAAGTTATGGTTCTGTGGGGAGCATTCTTCAGTTTATTGGCCCACTATACAGGAGAATACAACAGAGTGAGCAGTATTTAAGGTTGATCTTAAACTGAGTATTCACAGCAGCTAATCTCAGCCTATGCTTACTGTGTAGTCAGTGAGTAAAGAGAAGGGAGAAGGCTCCTTCAGAAGGTGTATTCATAATAAGAAGATTAAGTTCTTAAAATCTGAAGTTAATATTAATGTTCAGTTCCTATACAGATTATGATTAAAATCTTCCATATGCTAGTCAGGTGAGAGGTCATTTGTAAGGAAGAGTAAGGAAAAACTTGCATTTCACAGAATGACTGAAGAAATTATTTGGAGGGATAGCAATAACTGCTATAAATCTCACAGCAAGTTATGTATAAGCTTGAGTTTTTGCACACTGTACTATGAAGTTAGTGTTCAGTGAAACAGATAAACTAAAAAAAAAAAAAAAAAAAAACAAAACCAAACCAAAAAACAGAAAACTGAATAAATTCTTGAAGCTGCAGTGCGTGTGTGTGTGAGAACAGCCAATGAGGGCTGAGCTACATGCATTGCCTTGTGCCCTAACAATTATAGTATCCATGGTAATCTTTTAGATCACTTCTTTATGACAGCAAACTAAATGGAATAATTTTTAGCATCATTTGAATGGTACATTGTGATTTGCTAAAAAAAAAAATGTATGTACTGCAAGTACATACATCAAGTCTTCTTTCATCTGAAGAAGTAGGTCGACTGATAGAAAGGATTTATTTTTCTGTGCAGCTGGTGCATTGAACAAAACTATTAAAATGTTTCAATCATTGTTTATTGACATGTAGCTGAAAACAGGAATATACCTCGACAGCTTGATTATTTTTAGGGCAGTGATACAAGTTATGTTTCCATAGGAGAAACATCATCATTTGATTTTGAAGGCTGCAGAACAGAGTTTTTAGTTATTTCCCTATAGCTAACAGAAGTTTCATAGTGTAGATATTTCAGTTTGTTAACATGGTATACATGGAAATGTTGAGGCATATTCACACTTGATGGTTATTTCTATCCCTTGCAGTTGAAGTATCTTTGGAAGTGTTAGAGCTATTTAAAGTTACTTCTGTAAGTTGATGAGGGTTTTACTGTTGGGTTTTTTTAAGTTCTGTGAGGGTGATAAAGATGAGGATAGCCAAATGCAGTTTGACTGCTGTTTATATATCCTTTGCTATGTATGAAATTATTCTTTTTATGTTATTCTGAAGTTTAAAATAATCTACTTCTGTATGATGTTATTTATGAAGTGGTACATTCATAAGTAAGCTCCAAAAAAGAGTTGAAGATAATTCTTTGGTCATTTGTATGATTCTTGCATGAAAATATATCATGGTGAAGGAAAAAAAAAAAAAAAAAAGCTTGGAATCTTATTAAGTACTCTATGTTAGCTCACAAACATTTAATGTTACAGTTGAGTTGTTATACAGACAACTGGGATTTTTTGCATAAGGACTATTATCTACTGAGATGTGGTTATTTCTGTATGTATTCTAGGAAATAATGAGAAAGTGTTCTGTTTTCATACCATAATTCTCACAAATTCATAAAAATTGTGGACCTTGTTATATTTCTGCCTGTTTATTGGTAGGAATGTTTTCCATGATGAAAGGGTTTAGGCAGATATCTGTTAAATGTTGATTTTGATAAGCCTGGGCTCAGTTACAAGCATATGGGTTTTGTGAATGGATTAAAAAAACCAGAAACAGTAAAACATTTTAAGTGCCTTTTAAAACAATAAAGTGAAGTTTGTAGTAATTGGATTACGTATTTGGAAGTAGCAGGCCTTGTACCTAAAAGACGGGAGTAGATTATATGCAAAGGGAAATGCTGTTTCTTTTAAAAATAAATAAATTCCATGAAATAAAGTATTGTTTCTTCTTTCTTCACGTGTTTGTCCGTTTTTTCCATGAAAGAAAATGGTTATCGTAATTGAGTCTTCTGGATAACTCTTAACTAGTTTGTTGCATTAGTTTTTGATAGTTTATGAGAAGAAAAACTTTCAAAAGTGTATTTGATGAATCTTAAGAAAGAGAACTATTAGCGGAATTTTAAAGTGTGAATTACCATTGTCATGTAAGATAGCCATAAGGATATTTTTGTACCTTCATAATTATTTATTTTTTAAAATTAATTGTCTGGGTTGAGCCCAAGTAATCTCCTTAATACAAATTATTCTATATCTTAATTTATCTGCATTGAGAGTAGTATCTATTAGGCTCCTAAGGTCAAAGGTAAAGTGGATTTCTGCCAGTTATTATTATTCAAATAGGACAGAACAAGTACAATGATTAATATACTACTTCTTTTTTTCCAGATTTCTCAGGGGACAAAATTTTGCTTATTCATACCTTCTACTGTGGCAAAAATGGATTATTTTCCTCACCAAAAACCAGCAGCATAATGCCCATCTGACACATGCCTCAAGGAACTCTTATTTAAAGTCTGTTGTAAGTAAGTCAAATTAAAAACGTCCTTAAACGTAGCTTTAATCATCTGTCTATCTATTTACAGCTCAAGCATAAGTAGCCTTAACAGGAGAACTAATCTTAGCAGTCTGGCTTTGCAGCAGCAGCTGTTTGTTCTTAAATGAAAGTATAGGAGGAAGTAAGTTGCTGTAAAGCAGAGGTTGAGGTTGAGCTGCTTCCTGACCAGTGCATGCCCGTGTGTCATACCTGTGTGTTCTGTTCCTCTCCCCACAACCCCCATTAAATGTTTACTGTGATTCACTGCAAATCAGAAGCTATGGGATTATGCACGAATAGCATGATCGAAAAGATTATCTGCATTGTAAATGAAGGTTTAGACTCCTGTTGCTATGGCAATTAATTTTAGAATTTGCAATGTAGAAATAGGCAGCTAAATAACTCAAAATGTAAGAAACAGCAAGTGGTTTAGCTGGTCTTCATTGTGTTGGCTGCTGAGCTTCGTGCACTTTGTGGTTTTGATAGGCCCAAGTGTTTCATTTTTAATGCAACACAAACTTGAAAAAATTAATGGAACTCCATATTTTATATACCAAATAATGATTACTCAGGCATCTTACTTTTTATGTACTGAAGTAAATTCTATGCATGCAGAGTGTTAAGATTAGAGTTTTGGACAGCATAGCTTTGTTACTTGAAGAAGAATGACTTTTGGAGGGATAGGTTCAATATTTGGAAAGTTATCTTCTTGCAGCATCAGGAAAAAATTATGAGGGAAAAAAATCTGAAAGAGGAAAAAAATCTAGTTTGTTCATATTACTTCTGTAGAGATATGGTCTAGTAGAAGAGATGCACATTACTTAATGAAACTGCATTTAACAAGTGGCCTCAGATTAATGTTTGAAACCTAAATTGTTATATTTCCAGTACAGTATGATACTGCCTACTTCTTTATCACTCTCCCAGATAAAAGAATAATTGATACTTGAATTTGATTTAAAATTAAGGTCTTTGTTTTAAGGAAATTCCAGTTGTATCAGTGGTATTACATTTATCTTGTGCACTGCTGCTTTCTGCCAGAATACAATTAACATACTATGAGGGCCCTTGTGAATAAAATAAGGGTGTTGTGGTTTGAGCTCAGAGGGCAACTGAGCACCACACAGCCACTCACTTCCCATTCCCCCCCAGTGCTGAGAAGGAGAAAATAAGCCTGGCTTGGGATTCGAGATATGGTCACAGGCAAAAGGCAGACTTGTTAGGGGAAGGAAAAAAGAACACGGATTTATTACAGACACTAACAACAACACTTAACAGAGTAGGACAGTGAGAAGCGTTACTACATCTTGAGAACACCCTCCCCCCACCCCTCTTTTCTTACAGGGCTCAGCTCTGCTCTCGATATCTCTAACTCCTCCCCCCAGCAGCGCAGGTTTGGGGGGTGTGTGTGTGTGTGTGTGTGTGTGTGCAGTCAGTGCTGCCTCTTCTTCCATCTTCAGTGGGGGAAGGAACTTCTGGAACTTGTTCCCTCTGCTCCAGTGTGGTCCCCCTCTCACAGGAGACAGCCTTCCACAAACTTTCTTTGATGTGAGTCCCTCCCATGGGCTGCAGTGTTCCCTATGCTGCTCTGGCGTGGGACACCAACTTTCTAACTGGAGTCCCTCTCAGGGGCTGCAGCCCTTCCTGAGCTGCTCCAGCATGGGACATCCCCACATGCTGCAATCTTTCTAGTGCCAAACTCCAACAGCACGGGCTGCTTCTTCCCGCAGGATCCTGGCCTCTTTTGGGTATAGATACCTCAGCTGACCATGCGAGGCCCCTCACAGTCAATAAACCAATGTCTGCTCCACCGTAGATCTTCATGGGTGGCGGGGGGGGGCCGCCCTGCTGTCTCACCACAGGATACAGGGGGGATTTCTGCTCCGGCACACCTCCCCCCTCCTTTCTTCTTCCATTCTTCCACTTATCTTGGTGTTCACACAGCTGCCACAACTCTTCCTCACAAGTCCAACTCCTCCTCACCAGGTCCCTTCTTAAATACGCCATTGCAGAGGCACAGCTGACTGGCTCGCCCTTGGTGCAGAGGTGGGTCTGACTTGGAGCTGGGGGAGCTTTGAGAAGCTTCTCACAGGAGCCACCACTGTAGACCCCTCCCCTGCTACCAAAAACCCCACCACTCACTCAACCCAGGACAAACGGAAACACAGTAATTGTCTTACTTTCATCCTGTTTATCTTGTTGTCATGTATGAAAGTAAAAATGTTATAGCAATGGTGATGTTCTATCCTGAAAAAGTACTGTTGAAGGAAGGGGAAGGTAGAGGGTCCTTATGTGGAAAGGCTCTGTCTCCTGCTTGTCAGTTTGTCAATTCTGGACCCCTATTTCCATGGAATACTTGTTTGTCTATGACATTTTTTCCCTCCAAGAACATAATCGTTCTTGTGTAAGAATAATAGTGTTATGAAAACCCTCTGAAGCTCCACAAAAATACAGTTGTAAAAATGTTCCAGCAGAACATCTGAGCAGATTAATTAATCCTCCTGCATATGCATCTGACACAGGACTGGTGCTGTGCTTTTTGCTAGGCTGCCTTCAGTGGTGAAGTGCAAGTAAAAGACCTCTCAGTTGTTATCAGTGTTATCAGTGACTGTAGCTGTTTCACAACATTTTCTGGAGACTCAGTTGTTGTAAGGTATTGAATGTTTCTAGCTTTCCATAATGTTTCTTCAGTGGAAGTGTGCCATAGCTCTTAAATGCAGTGTGATCTTTTAAATTTTTCTTTTCTACTTTAATTTATTTTAGCATCCAATAATAGGTTATAATCTCTAATTCTTAAGTAAATCACCTCAAAAGATGATTTAGTGGTGTCCTTTATCAATAGTTCTAGCTTCAAATAATTAAAATAAACAAACAAATAGTAGACATTGTAATTAAATAAAAATAGCATTTCTGAAAACTGAAATGCAGCTGCATTTTTAAAATACCTCCCAGTTGGTCTCTGAACTTCAGCAGTATTCTTTCTAGAACTGAACTTAAAACAGTTGAACAATTCTCTTCTCTTGGATAATAGCTCTTTTTTGATGGTTCCCACGGGGGTTTAGTGTGCTGATTGAGGATTCTTCAGCATAGCTTCCGTCATATTCTGTTTTTTCACTTCTGTGTCTAATGTATCGTTCAGGGCTTGTCTACAGAGATATTGAGGAAAATTGATGCAAGTCAACTAAATGTAGGAATTTAAAGGGGACAGCTTAAATCCCACCAAGTCTCTGTGTGCACTCTTCCATTCATAATTAAAGTGGCCTCCAGTGAATTTAGTTTAATTCACTTCAAAGGCAGGATGATCCAAACCAAATTAAGGCCACATTTTATTCCCAGATGAAAGTGTTTGCAAAGGAATTTAATGGCCGTGGACAGATCCAGTTAAATTAATTTGAGTTAATTTTCCTGAGTTCCATTGTGTAGATAAAACCTTAGTAAAAATGCCTGATTGGGGCTTTTATTTTTCTTCTTTCTTGTTCTTCATCTTTGTTCCTATAACTCTGTTATTTCATACTTGAGAAGGTAGGTGGCCCATAATTTGTATTAGTCACTAAGTGTTGTCTTGTTATCTTACATGTTTTAAGAGTCCATATTTTATAATTAACATATAGGTACCTCCCTTTGCTATCAAGTCCAGTGCGTGTTACCTTTTGTTTAGGTAGTTATCATCAATTTGACTGCTTCAACTAAAACCTTTTAATCCATCACTGTAACTACATCTGCTGTCAAGATCTTACCCATCCAGCATCTTTTAAAAACATTTTTTACAGATTTTGTAGAACTGGGTGCTTATTATTGCAAATAAGTTATGACTTCATGTTTCTTCTATAATGTAATTATGCAGTGCCTCTTAATGGAGTGATTCTGGTGGTAGACCTAAGTCAAGTGCGGCTAATTAGAATGGAGGTGCTTGTATGGATGGTACGAGCAAGATTTCATTATAGTGCAAAATAAAGATAAAGAACAAGCCAGATGGTAGTGAGTTGGAACATGCCTGTGCAGTTAATTGAAGTACTAATTTAAGACTGTGGACTGGTTTTTTGTCGTTTTTTTTTTTGTTTTTATTTGGTTTGATTGGGTTTTTATATTTGAATGTATGTATAGGACATTGATATTACTAGTAGACTTGCCTTCTGCTAATAAAATATCCTTCTTAGCTTCAACTGTCATTCTGTGAGCATAGTTTAAGAGGAAAAAGTAAGAATTGATTTAGGCTATTCCTTGTGAATCTGAGAGAAAAAGTACATTTCAGAACAGTGAGCAAATTTTACAGTTAGTGAAAAATACCCTGTCTCTACTTTCTTAAATGACCATGCTGTGGTCTATCAGCAGAACGCATCTACCCTCAGCTGTCCCCTTTTCATTTAAGAGAGCTTTTGATTTTTTTAAATATATTTATTTTTTAAATCAAAATTGTGGAAAAGGATCTGACAACCGAGGAGAGTGTTAAGTACTAAGGAAACAAAAATGATCATGTCAAAAGCTATATTGCTCTTACAGGTAAAAGGCTAAAACAGTCTTTCAACAGTTGGTGTTGTAGCCTGAGTAGCAAACAGCAGTTTAGCTGGGCCCCAGCAGTACTTTCCAGGTAGAAATTTGGACTGAATGGCAGTGATGCAGGCTTTGGCAGAAGGGGTATAATTTAATTGCTAGAGGGAAATAAAAACAAAAGAAAAAAACTCCTCAGTCCTTTGATAGGATACTTGGGATTTGTAAAATTCTTGGAGAAATGCTAAGGCAGGTGATTCAGATCAGTAGCAATTGGTCCATGACACTGCCTGGGGCACCAAAGCAGCACAGTCTTCTTATCTCTGATTTGGGTACGATTTTGGCATGTGCTTAAATCCAAACATGTAGTTCTGTGAGTTTTTGAACCACTGCTACAGTGATTTGTATAGAAGTGCTTTAGATGAATGTGAGTCAATATATACTTACAGTTTACACCATCCTGCTACAATTATATAAAACATCAATTAAATTTTTTCATTG